ACGGCCCCCCTGCTCCTCCGCGTCCTGCCAGCTCCCTCAGAAGAGATCCGCAGTCAGGGGTCGGAAGGCGGTGCCGGTGGCTCGGCTCAGCTCCTCCAGGATCTCCTTCTCCTTCTGGTACATCTGCGGAAAGCAGCGGGCAGAGAGAAGGGCCGCTAAGTCATGGGCTAGCGAGTGCCATGCCCCCCTTCACAGCCAAGGGCCTTGGGGACTGTCCTGCTGTTCCCCGCTTGCAGAAGAAACACTCCTAAAATTAGCCATTTGCAAAGCTGTTTCCAGCTGAACTGTGATTCAGTCATGTTCTCCCAGCCTGATTATTTAAAAATCACATGGGAGAGACCACATATTGCTCCGCTGCAAGGAAATTGGACACAAAACAAGAGCTTGCTCTTTGCTGCAAGCAATTTTCCTAGCCAGACTGTTCAATTAATCTGGCTTCCACAATTGCACTCTGTTTAAAAAGCATTTTTTGAGCTCTCCTAAAGGAAAAACATCAAATCTTGCACCAGAAGCATGTACTTAAAGTGCATGTAAAAACGTCAATACACCCCTAAAAAGCCATTTCTTTCTGGAAATGTTTTGTCTTGGCAACTTTGCATGGGTCTTTCGCCAGTTCCTGTGCAGCAGTTGCATGTCCTGAGCCTGCTAAAAGGGTCCCCGTGCAGCCCAGTGTTTGAACTCTGCAGAAGCTCATATGCACAAAAAAATAAATCTCTCAAGCGCCATTAACAACAGAATTGCGATTCTGTCATTTTGCTTGCAGGGACTTGATATTTGCATGACAATACAGATTAAATTAAATTGCCTAAAAGCTCTGCGGAGCCTTCCAAGGGGCTGCCAGGATGTGAGGGTTATCCCCCCATGGGAGAGGGCAGGAGAGGAAATCCTCCCGTTTCAGCAGGGCACGTTATCTGACAGGGCTGCCGCTGCAAACCCTCCCGGTTTGAGGCCGCCTCCGTACCTGCTGCCACTCCGCTCTTGTCTTGTGCTGGTAGCCAAGCAAATGACACAACCCATGGGCCGCAGTCGCCTGTCCAGGGGAACAACCAAAAAACATAACGCATCTTAAAATTACACAAATGACATTTTGTTGGCTATTTTTTTTTTTTTTTTTGCAAAAAGGGGGTTTCTATATGCTAGGTTATGCTCAATGAGGGGAAATAGATGGGAGATAAACTGAACTTCTTTGAGGAAAGATGCAGCCTTCAACTTGCAATAGGAAGGTTGTTTAGGCACATTCTCAGGCTGAATATAAGCTCTTCAATGGATTAATTTTGTTTTACTGTTCTAACATTAGCATTCAAAACTCCTATGGATATTATGAGGCTTCAAATATAGAAACCTCGTCAAAAGTAGGAAGATAATGCTGATTTCTGTAGTATGTTACATCTAGGGAGCTTACTTCACAGACGACACACATTTTAACATTTTAATCTACTTATTGAGCTTTCAAGACAAAATATATGCCCTCCTCTCACAGAAAAGTTAAAGTCAAATATGTACAAGTTAGGAAATGCCAAAAATAGGATTGCCATTTCTTGCATTTGCAAAAATAACTTTTCCAAAAATTGCATGGCAACCAACAGCACAATGAAGGAAGTGAAAGACCCCAGCACAGGACCTCAAATCGAAAACTGCTCCCTCTGCCTTTTGATGGTTCTCTGCCTCTTCAGCTGTGAACTGAGCACGGGAAGGCTCCTGTAGAAAACAGCACATAATGTCCCACAAAGAGCACATGTAAAAGCCGGAGAGGGGACAGGGACAACCAAACTGCATTTCCAGGACAGTAATACCCACACACTTGGTGCTAGTTACTGGAAGCGAGCGGAGTTGGGTACCTGCCTTTGGATGACTGTCCTGACAGCTGCCCGGTGGGTGCTCAGAGGGTCTCAGCGAAGGGGCCCCATCGGGCTGGCGGTCACCCCCGCATGGGGGTCACACGCCAGCCGAGCATCCGATGGCCGCACATCCAGCCGTGTGCCACGGCAGGACACATGTTACAGGACATCTGGGGATTATGTCTTCCAGCTGGATTACCTTCAAAGCGAGGGTGGCCTTGCCAGATAAACACCACAGCTGCAACACAGCTTCTGTCCCATTAACTGACCTAAATGTCAGATGCGGCAATCAGCAGATCCCAGATCAAGCTAATCAGTTAAATTTAGCACAGCGGGAGCGAGCGGCTGCAGCGATGCTCCACAAATGCGTGAGGTTTTATGTAGAGTGTGGAGAAAATAAAGGGGGAATTGCATGGTCCTTGTGCCCAGTGCCTCTGATATAAAAAGCCAAGGAGGACAGACCCACCTGCATTTTCTGCATTAAAGCACAACAAACTCCACAGAGAAAATCTGCTAAAATTTTTCTCAAGAGAGGAAAGACCACTCTCAGACTCCTACCATCCACCTTCTTGCCAAATACAACTTCAAGCTTCAAAACATAGTGCTAAAGGCTCTCGCCCGGCGAGCTCACCGCCATCCAGTGCAAGAACGTGCCCGACAGCCTCAACGAGCGCAGCGTGCTGGAGGAGCACTTCGGGCAGTTCGTCAAGGTCCGGCGCGTCATGACGCGGCGCAACAAGAAGATGGCCATCCTCCACTTCTTCGATCATGTGAGTGTCACGTAATCCAAAGAAATGGGTATAAATCCACACGTGTAGGGTGCCCACACGCTTTCGCTGCCACAAGAACTGTGCCTGTATCTGACAACACTTTTCTATCTGAAAGTCAGCACAGATGAGCACAGCTTAAATTATAGGCAAGGTTAGAGAGGTGCTGGGCAGATAGGGCCGTATTTTGAACATCACAACTGCCTGCAATGTTGCCAAACTTCAACTGTGGTTTTTCCACCAACTTGAACACCAAGCAGATCTTTACAGTTACCTCCAGAGACCGATCAAGACTACTGTCATGTGGCCCTTAGACCTAAGGGTGCACTCTTGCTCAAAATCTCTGCTGTCTCTCAAAGCTTAGATGCTCTGTTGCAGTTTTTGCAAGACCATCTGCTCCTTGCAAGTAGTGACCTCAGGTCAGCACTGAGGTGCGCTGAGAAGCGAGTTCTGCTCCTGTTTTCTGGTTAAAAATAAGCTTTTGGTCACCCCTGTTGTAAGCTTGAAAGAGATGTTGCGAAAGGAGCAGTTTTGGTGGAAACCTGCCCAATCCTGCAGACTGTATGTAGGTTTTAAGGAAGAGGTTGGAAAGCAGTGCTGAGGATTTTGCAGAAATGGGTAAATGCGTGTCCCTAGCAAAGACCTGTGTTACACAGTGTTGTGATACCCTTGGCTTTCATACTGTGCTCTGTTTTCTTTTAGGACTCTGCTGCTCTTGCCAGAAAGAAGGCAAAAGAATTGCACAAGGACATTGTAACATTTTGGCAAAAGAAGAAGACAAGTAAGTCTATTTGCACGTATAATAATTGGGTGATACTTGAGAGAAATGGCATCACCTTCTGTACTTGTTTTGCCTGCTGAGGACCAAACAAAAATATCTCCAGAGGAGGAACGTGCAGGAATATTATGAAATTCAAAAGTTTGGCATTTTTTAACTTTTATTAGCAGAATTTTTGGGGTGTGCAGAGTTCCTGAGAGTGCTAAAAGTTAGTTATCATTTCTGAGATGGAGTTTGGAGCTTTTTGAGCGTTCATGGTGCGTATGCTGTGTGTGCTGTCTTGCCCTTTTCCAGTAACTGTTTGGCAATTTGTTGCCCAACCACTGAGCAGAGTAAAGTCCTTACTCGTTCTCTCTAGTCGGGCTTCATCTTTACTGTCCTCTTGTGTGGGGGAAATTTTAAGTGGGAAGGTTATAAATTGTGTTTGAGAAGTCCACTGTTTCTACTCTTGAATTCCTATGGAGTAAAACAGTTTACCCTGAGCCAAAATGCTGTTTCTGACACTTTAAACCATTTCAAAGAGTTGAAGACTCCTGAAAGGGCAGTGTAGGTTTAAAAGGTGCTGTAGGAACCATTCCTGTAACCCCATAGGAAGAATAACATAATGATAGTTATCTCTATGCTCCTTCTAGAAGCAGGATGGTCTTCTGGGATGTTTGAAAATCTGTTTTTGTATGCCCAGTTATTTGCTTCAGAATAAGGGCTAGGGTGTAGGCTTCCAGGTTTTAGGAAAGTTTCCTGAGAATTGAATTACTGAATATTCTGGAGTGAGTTTCCTCAGCTGTTGAAGTTGCTCCTCTGTGTATAAGCAGTTATATATCATTTGAACCAAGGAGAGAGCAATGTACCTGCCTGTCTTACAGAAAATTCAGTGTAGAAATGGGGAATCTGGGTTCTAGTCCCTGCTTGGAGTTGGGATGAGATGTGAACGCAGGCTGTTCATGCCCAAAGCCATACTTGAACTATAAAGTGCTGCCTTTTGTTTTGTGCATGCTGCTTGCATACCTCTAGAGGTTTTTAGCCTGGGGATACTCTTCAGCTGTTGGTAAATGCATGGTTTGCTGCAGCTCTGACCAGTCAGAAATTTGCCTTCATTGAAAATGAATAGCTGCAGAATTGTCTTCCTGAAGGCAAACACCTCGAAGCAACACCTACAAGGCTGCCTGTTATTCTTTCTGGTTATACTGTACCTTTAAGGTCAATGAAAACTTGAATATGAATATTTTAAAACAGCTAGTTTGAAGACTTAAAAGTCTTCAAATCAACCTCAAGCTAACTTCTAGTGTAAGTTGTTTTATAAGCTTTATATAAACAAAACAGTAACTTGTGGATTTATTCGGTAATAATATTTTTAAACCTGCTGCCTCCCTTCCCTCACCCTCAGGAGGAAAAAAAGAGTTGATTGAATAACTTGATGTCTAGTATGACTTTGTTCTACATATCACTTCAGGCCCTGCAAAAAGAGAGTATTCATC